GGTTAGCCTCTCGTCGTCCATCGATCCGAGATGGCCACTCCATCGTAATAGCAGTTGCCTTAGCATGGCGTAGATGCTGAGGATTCCCGTGTGTTCAAGTACATCGGTGTCAAGGGTTCGGTCCTGCCACCTCGGCTTCAGTATGCGGCGAAGACAACTGAGGTGGAAGTGGTTGGGTCGGCGTGCTTGCTTCGTGTAAACCATCCAAGTCTCAGCTCGATACAGCAGCGTCGGGAGGATGACGACCTTGTACATCTTCAGTTTCGTAATGAGCTGGAGACCGTGACGATTCCAAACCTTGTTTTGAAGGCGGCCGAGGGCTTGATTAACCTTGGAAATCCGGCGGGCCACTTCGTCATCGATTGAGGTGCTGTGGCAGAGGGTACTGCCCAGATATGTGAAGTTGTCCACCATTTGCAGTTGGGTTCCGTTCACGCTGATTTGACGCGCATGGTGGGGATGGGCTATGTTGGGTGGCGGTTGGTGCATGACCACCGTCTTCTACGTGTTGATAACCAGACCGAAGTTCTCGCAGGCGGCGGAGAAGAGGTCCATGCTCCCTTGCATGGCCTCTTCCGAAGTGGTGTTGAGGGCGCGGTCGTCGGCGAAGAGGAGTTCATGAACGGGGGTCGTGGACACGCGCGATTGGGAGTGCATTTGCCGTTGATTTAGGTGGCGGCCATCCGTCCTGTAAGGGATGCGGATCCCGGGGCGTTCTTCAGGGTAGGCGTCCATCAGCATGACAGAGAACATAAGACTGGAGAGGGTGGGTGTCAGAACGCATCCCTGCTTCACTCCATTGGTCATTGCGAATGCCTCTGGCACAGCTCTGTTGTCTGAGACTCGCCCCATCATGTCGTCGTGTAACTGAAGCACCATCTGAATGAGTCGCCCGGGACAGCCGAATTTCTGCATGATCTTTCACAGTCCTTCACGATTCACAGTGTCGAGGGCTTTCGTCATATCCACGAAGGTAGAGTACAGGTGGGTCCGCATCACCTGGCACTTCTCCTGAAGTTGAGGAGCGTCGAAATTCATGTTCGTGGTCCCTCAACGACGGCGGAAGCTGAACTGGCTTTCCGGCAGAAGACCCTGTTCTATGTGATTATTCAGACGGTTGAGAAGGATGCGAGCAAAGATTTTTCCGGCGATGTACAGGAAGTAGATAATAATAATTTTTATTAAATACCCGTGAGGATCCTATCATTGCCAGGAAGAATAATCTTTACGTTAATTTTAGAATTTTAGACGAGGTATACAGATTATGAGGGTACTTAATTCATAGTTTTTAATAAGTAGCATGTTACGAAGAATGTTGAGCGAACAGAAAAAAAAACTCCTAACATTTACAAAATGAGTATAATTGGACTAGAACTATAGGAGAAAAAACTCTCGCTCGCAGGACAGGACTGGACTGTATATGGCATTGTATGACGGATTTCATGGGGGGATAAGTAGGCGGGTCAGGCAGGACTGGCCTGTATGCAGACTTGAGCAAAAGGTTCGAATCGGGAATCATCATGGGCGAATTCATATGACGGATGAGGCCATTCATGTCAAAGTGGCGAATCGAAAACCAGTCTTGGGGCGATAGGAACCCAGATGCGATCGGTTACATTCAGCCGAGTCCATCCGAGAAGGAGGCAGGGGAGATGCGACCAGACTACAAGTGTATAGCGGATACAGAAAGCTTCGCCAAGAGCGTCGATAGAGCGCATTCTGTGGGGGCACAGTGCATGGACTGAAAAGCCGAAAAAAATTACACTTTTGATGAGGGGTCCTAGGAAATGATACGACTCACAAAAGAAGGAAATGTGAGCAGATACGGAAAGTTAATGGCGGCGTCCTAAATTCCCGGTGGCCCTTCCTTAGTTTCATAGAGAAGGTTCCCGGGAAGTATGAGGAAACTAAAAGTTTAATCTAGTCAGTATTCAGATGAAGGCGCAACCTTCTCTTAAGCTTGTGTACACTATCTGAAGATCTTATATTTATTGGAAGGTTATTCCAGAGGAAAGTATATGCGGAAGCGAAAAACAGAGAACGCTTGGAGGTGGAGGAAGCTAGAGGAGGTATAATCAAGGAAGAGTTGCGAAGATTGTATGGGCGACTACTAGGGGTATGTGCTGAAATCCGAGGAAGATTTGGACTATTATTAATGCGAAAGAGGAGACAGAAGCCTACTTCTAGTCTTCGAACCCGGTGATCGTCGCAGAGCTGGCGGTTTTCTTTCCGCTTGTAGAGATGCACGACTGTGGCGTACTTGAAATCCTGCGGTACTTCTCCTTGACGCCACATCTCGTAGAAGAGTGCAGATCAGAGTTGGGGGCCGCCGTGCTTGTAGACCTCAGCATGGAACGCGTCCTATCCGGGCGTCTTCTCACTAGAGAGCTGCTGCACGCCCTGATTTTTTCATGGAGAGGGGGCGGAAGGTCGAGGTCCACGTTGGTCTCCACTTGCGGCAGATGGAGAATGGCGGCGTCGAAGATGGTGGAGGCGGCGGTGTCGGCGGCGGCGGCAGTGACTGGAAGGTTGTCTATCCGTTGAGCTAGTTCCTCGCTGACATGGACATGGTGAGCAGGCAAAGACAGCAAGGCCATATTCAGCTTACCTGGGGTTCGCTTACCTCGTGATCTCCTGCAAGGCTGTAGATGACGAGGCGACGGTCGGTACACCCGTCAGCACCCGGAATCGCCTTTTTCACTTGCATGTCCCGCTGGTCTCGCCTCCGGGCGAGGACATAGTCCACCAGGGGCCACTGACGCGGCCGAGGATGCATCCAGGTGGCCTCCTTTCGTTCCGGCAGGGAGAAGAATGGGTTCGTCAGGATGAGTTGGTGTTCTGCGCAGGTTTGTAAAAGGAGCAGGCCATTATCGTCATAGCCGTGGAGACCATGGGGACCGAGCACTCCTCTCCAGGCAGCATGGTCTGTGCGGACGCGGGCGTTGAAGTAACAGAGAACAATCAGTTTATCTGCCTTCGGCACAGACGCCAGGAGTGCGTGCAGGTCCTCGTTGAATTTGCTCCTCGCGTCGTCGGGGCTGGTCACCAGGAAGCGTAGACACTGACAGTTGTGGCGAATTTGTCATTACGGGGAGGCCGGCGGAGTCTCATCAGGCGATCGTTGATGCTCTGCGGCAGACAGGGCAGGCATCCCACGCTGTCGTTCCGGATGGCAAAGACGACACTCGCGTCTTGTCGCTCTGCCTTGGGGCGACCTCTCCAGAAGACGGTGTAGCCGTCACCCACCTCCTCCTGTTGGTCTTGTTCAGAGAACCGGGTCTTGCTGAGTTCAACGATGTTTACCTTGTAGCGCGCCAGTCCCTAAGCAACTAGCGCCGTGCTCCGCTCTGGTCGGTTGCTTCTCAGATTGTCTAAAAGGCAACAAACATTCCGGGCTGCCAGAGCGAGCGGACTTACTCTACCAGTCTGGCGATTGGAACAGTAAAAAGAAGAAGAATAGGCAGGAAGAGAAAGATAGTGAGCACTCTTGTTGTTGTTGTTGTTGTTGTTATTGTTGTTGTTGTTGTTGTTGTTTCGATTTTGATTTTTCGACCGCGAGTATAACATCTGTGACCACTGTCAGCCTGAAGACGGCGTGGTTCCCCAGCAATCGTTAAGGCGCATTTTCTGGTCCCTTTCATTGCGAGCAAGCAGCGCCTCTCTAAACAGGTCTGCTTGGTAGTGCCAGGCGCTGCCGCACTCTACTGTGTGCCACGAATTTGGTGTAGTGGAAGAACAACCCGAATTAGTCTGAAGAGCTTATGGCATCGTCGTAAGCTCGTGGCCTCCTGCGGTGCACCAGACGGAGCCTCCTCTCGACGGTGCCGATGCAAAGTTTCATCCGACCGATCGCCCAGCGGAGTCCACAATATCGTGCGCGCAGAGCGCACACGGATACCCCCACCTGGTTTAACCCGCCGGTCGAGGCGGTTATCGGGTTCTGGCCGCTGGGTAGAGCCCAGCTTCGGAGAGCCACATGTGAGAGTTGGGTGTCAGCAAATGGGTGCTAGGCGTAGTCTGCACCTGCGAGTAAGTGAACAAACCATTACGACCATCACGTGAATCCACCGCCGAACATCCCTACACCCTGCCTGTTTTTAATGAGCTGCTAAATCCACTGCTTTTACTCCTCCCCGCAGCGATGATTTGCGTGATTTATTCGACGTTATCTCCTTGTTTCGACCCAAAGCCGTCTGTTGTCGATCACGGCGGAATAATCTGTTTTCGCCATTTGCTAGTAGTTCGGTCGGTCAGCAAAGAATTGTCGTAGTCGCATCTACCCACGCTATGATGGCCGCCACGGCACTTAATGTCAGCTCCTCGGCTGTATCCTAAACAGGCTGCGACCGATAGCGTTTGGGTTTATCTGGGCTTGCCGCCTTGGCGGTTACGTCTGTTTTCGACGCAAAATTTCCTGATCGCGCCTGCGGCGAATAGTCTCATCCGGTGTAGGAATTCCACCTTGATGACGTCCATTGCGAACTCCTATCCACTCACGCCCACAGAAAGGCCCTGTCACCCGCACATTTACCTCCTCATATGCGCCAGTCTTTTTTCCTTAAAGACTGAACAAATTGCATTTATTTTGTCCTCTCCAACCAAACTTGAAGAAGCTTTTTTACTGTTCGCTTCCCGCTTTCATCATAAGTCTGTCTATTTCATGAGCGCAAACTGAACACCATATAGTATTTTCCGGGCAATATGTATAACATGCTGAATTAGAGCTCATTATTTGCTGTGTACATTTCGGCATCCTGAAACTCATGTCTTAGTAGTCCACTTGTTAAAATAAAAATCTGTAAACACTACAGGGACTTGCCTCAACTAAAGCTTGCTCGTTGGTGCTCGGGTGAAGCATCAAAGGCAATTAACAGTTGGCAAAGACAAGCGGTAGTTACGCCAATAGTTTTACTGCTAAGCGCCCCAAGGTTACAATCAACGCACACTGAACACTGATTTAAATGCTGAACTTCGCATGATAGTGTCATTTTGTATTTCTTCCTGAACGATCACTTGCGCAGTGGAATTTAGAAAAGATAATTTTTTATTAAAGACCCGTCTGGGTTCCATCAAAGCAAGTTAAAATAAATTTACATGCGAGTTTTAGACGAGGTAAGCCGACTCTTTACAAAATGCAATTCATAGTTTCTGAATTAGTAGTCCATTGAGAAACATGATGATTGAGGGGTGAAAAAAACTCCTTACAAAAAGTTAAAAATTATTGGATTAATATAACAGGAGAAAAAAACCTCTCAATAAAAATAATGACGGAAAAAAGCGAGCAGGACTGGCCTGTAGGTGGCGGTATATAACGGAATGTTGTCGGTCATCGTCAGGGTAGCAATAAATCTCAGCCTTGAGAGGTACGTATGCGGGTCAGACAGGACTGGCTTGCATGAGGCTTTGTATACGGGATTCACAATTGAGATCGTCTGGGCCGGATTGATACGCCGCATGAGACTATTCGCGTCAAAGAGGCCAGAGGAGAGGAACCCAGATGCGATCAGCCACAGCACGCTTCGAGCTCAGCCGAGCAGTGGGGAAGGGAGGTACGACCAAACTACTAGTAGACGGCGAATACTGAGGGTTCCGCCCTGAGCGTCGACAGACCGCATGAGGTCGAAATGCGGGAGATGGCATCAAAAATCGCGAAAATTGTCGCTATGGGGGGAGTGATAGCAGTGGATTTAGAAACCAATGCAAAACAGGGGTTTCTAATGGTATAATTAAGAGTTACCACTTAATCTACCACTAAATCCCAGGAGGACCCTTCTCGAAGTCAAGAATCTGAGTGTTCGGGAATGAGACCGTTAGCAGTGCCTTTATGCTTACCGGTGTAAGATGTTTGCGTAATTTCGACTTGAATACCAGTAACTTAGGCGACGACATAATTCCCGGTGGAAGATTATTCCAAAGGAAGGCATATTTGGAAGCAAAGAAGAGGGAGCGCTTAGATGTAGTACAAAGAGGCGGCGGAATCACCATGCAGGAGTTGCGCGTGGCATAAGACCGATCTCTCGGAGTGAGAGTGTCAATGTGCGGAAGACTGGAGCTACAGTTGATGCGAAAAAGGAAGCACAGGTCAGCTTCGAGTCTTCTAACCCACAAAAACTTCATGTTCACCAGCTGACATCTCTGCGTATAAGAAATACTGGACGAAGCTTGAGAGAACAGTTTCCGGGTGAAAACTCTCTGAACATTTTCCATTTTATTACGGTCGCAGGCGTTCATTAAACCGAAGAAAGGACAGCAGTATTCGAGGACTGGAAGAACAAGCATTTGATAAAGTCTTAGCTTCATTTCCGGAAGGAAAAAATTATGCGATATGAATCCACATATCTGCGCGGCTTTGGCAGAGATTCTATCTGCATGAGGTGATAAAGCAAGCTTATTCCTTATTTGTATAACTTAGACCTAGGTCCTTTATGATGAGGCATTCTGAGAGTAGGTTATTCTGAAAAATTATGGGACCAGGAAGTTTGGCAGGACCAAAAGACATGAAACTACACTTGCATGATGAATACTGCGTCTGCCATGTTGAACCCCATCTGCTTAAGGGTAGTAAGTCGGCGCTAACTTTTTCAACACAAACGTCTGCGGTGTCCTTAGAATATGAGTAAACACACTTGAGGTCATCGGAACAAGCAAAAGTTTGCAAATTTCCGAGTTCAGTCGAAATATCATTGATGTACAGAAGGAAGAGTAGCGGACCCAGGACCGTGCCTTGAAGTACGCCACTCGTGATCGAGTGGGGTGTCGAGTAGCTATTACCGACCATGACTTTCTGATATCGGTTGGACTGATAGGACCTGATGAAGTCGAGTAGAGGCGGCCGGATGCCGAGGGCTTCCAATTTTACTAAAATACGTCTATGGGGCACCTTGTCAAAGGCTTTGCTAAGGTCAAAGTAAATAACTACCACTGACTGCCGCTCATTACGAAGAGAAGTGATTAGATTAAGAAAAGCCAAGTGACGTGTTTCGCAGGATCGTTCAGGTAAAAATCCATGCTGACTAGAGCTCAGAAGCCGATTAGCTAGACAGAAGTCAAGAATTTCATTGAAAATAATCCTTTCAAGAAGTTTTGCTAGAGACGGCGTTTTGTGCACGCCCCGATAGTTATTAACATCGGACCGAGATCCTGACTTGAAAACGGGAATGATAATTGACGTTTTCCATGTTTCAGGAAAGAATCCTTTTGAAATATAAACAGAGAACAAAGGACTAAGCAATATGGGAAGGTCGGACGCTTGGTTAATAATCGAATTCGGAATCCCGTCCGTTCCTGAGTAGTGTGAGTATTTCAAACGGCTTATGTGTTTCTTAATGAGATCTGAGGAGACATCAATTGTACCTGGTGTCCTATTTGGAAGTGATCGAAAGAAAGGGACCGGATCGGACTCGGTGGCAAGGTGTTTTGCAAAGAAAGCACTAAACAACTCCGCCTTGTCAGTGTCCTCGGTGAGGAAGACTTTGTTATCATTAAGCAGGGGTGGAAGTTCGTGACCACGCTTAGATGAGGACCGATGACGGAAGATGTTAGCGACGGATTTGCCAGGGTTCGAACCACTGAGAGCAATTGATTCTCTTTGCCTGTCGCGCGCTTGGCGCATCCTTAAGGCCATCTCAAAAATCTCTGTGATTCTAAGATGAACTGATAAGGAACTAGTGGATGGGTCACGCAGCTGTCGCCTCAACATTTTTAGTCTGTTCTGAAGAAAATGAGGAACAAGGGAATCTGAAGAATTAGGCTTGAGATATCTACGCGGCACAAACTCTAGAATGTCCTTGGAAACGTTGGACGTGACATCAGGAAGAATGGCTGCATCGCTACAAGTGAGGAAGCCATACCAATCCAAGGATCTCATATAGTTATTTATTAAGTCGTTATCTACTTAATCGTAGTTCATGTAAGTCCGAAGGACGCTGGTCTTTTTTGAAAAGGCAAGCGGTAAGCAACAATGAATTAATGCGTGGTCACTGTCAAAGAGGTCCTTTTTTAAAGCAACAGAAAGAGGAGCGATGTCATTGGTAAAGATTAGATCTAACATGTGATTATCTCTTGTTGGAGAGCGAACCAGTTGGGACCAATTAGAAAAATTGACAATATCTTGAAAGGGCTGGAATCTGGGTGGACAGCTATTGGAAAGCCAGTCTATTTCAGGAAGGTTAAAATCCCCAGTGATTATTTTAACATCGAAAGCATCTTCCGAAATTACTTTAAAGATTTCACAGAGTTGTGAATCATCACTGGCTAAAGAATTTGAGGGATTGTAGATACAGCCAATAATTGCCTTTCTTTGTGGCGAGAGAATAACAGATGCAAAGCAGAAGTTGCCCGTGAATGAGAAAACATCCAAGTAATAGGGAGAGTGCTTTAGGCAGGATTTAAGATAAAGAAAACAACCACTCCCACGCCTAGTCGTGCGGTCTTGGTGGTAAAAATCGAAGTCATCTATGAGAAGGGCAGAGTCAGGAATTAGAGAATGGATCCAAGATTCTGTTACACATATAATATCAGGCGCCATTTCCAGAGCAATGGCCCTGATTTGGGCCATCTTGTTTATAACAGACCTGGCACCGTTTAATAGACCTCTTGTTCCAATGGAAACAATGCGTCCCCCACCCCCTAACATGTTTCCTCCACGGCCGTTTTACCAATTAATTCCTCATCATAATGTCCATACTGTATCAGTTAATTCATCCGATCCTCAGTTTCGTCCCGGCGGGAATACGTTGCAGTATCTGCCCCGCGGATTTCCAGCTGAAAATAAGTTAGCTAACAATAGTTACCAGTTTACCTGCCCGTCATTCCCTCCCCCAAGTCCTACCCCTTTTTATCCACGTCAGAATTTTTTGATGCCACAAAATTTTTTGCAGAACCGGATGGTTGCATCCGGAACGTTTGTTCCGTGGGCGACCCAGAACTGGACGATGTAGCCCACCTCCCTCAAAAACTAACAGCCTTTCCCTTCAAACTTTTTGTTTTAAATGCCAGATCCTTGCTTAATAAGATGCCTTTGCTTCAGACTCAGGTTTTCGTCCATTGTCCTGATATTGTTTTAGTAACTGAGACGTGGGCATCAGCCTCCGTAGCTGACTACGAACTCTCTCTTCTAGGCTACAATTGCATTCGAAATGATCGCAAAGATAGCCGTGGTGGGGGCAGCTGCGTCTACGTTAAGCCAACACTTACATGTTTGCCGTTGGACCTCCCGCACTTTTCAGCGGTAGAAGGCAGCTGCTGGCTCCAGGTTGCACTAAAATATAAGTTCTCCTTACTCGTTGGCTGCGTCTATCGCCCTCCCAACGCCAATGACAATTTTGATCGCTTACTCTCACAGGCATTTCATGCTGCGGCCGATTTAAGTTTTAAGTATCAACTGGTTGCGGGTGATTTTAATCTCCCTGAAGTCCGCTGGTCTCCGCCTTCAGGCCCCAGAAGGTTCGATGACTTTCTTGAGGCTGTGGATGTCGGGATGTGGACTCAGGTTTTTGATTTTCCCACCCGAGGCTCAAGTATACTTGACTTAATCTTCTGTAGAGGCTGCTTGCCATCGTCAGTGTCATCCCTAGGCCCACTCGGGGGCTCAGACCATGACATAGTTGTTTCAACGTTGGAATTCGAGGCTGACGAAATGTCGTCCCAAAAGTATAACTTTTTCCGCGATTTCCGATCAACTCGCTCAACCGAATTATTAACACACCTTAATTCCTACGACTGGACTGAGTTCTTCCTTAGGTCGGATGTAAATGTTTGCACTGCAAAACTGTACGAAATTTTGGGTCCGCTTATTTCTCGTTTTGTCCCCCGTAAGAAAATTATTAATGTTGGAGATGAAATTTTCCTACCTTTACCCTTTCGTCGCAGATTGCGCAGGCTTTATCGTCGTTTCCATCTGCAGAACGATGTTTCTGTTCTGCCCTTGATTTGTGATATTTTTGATCGAGCTAAGAGACTGTCTGAAGAAAAACAGCTAGCCGAAGAGGTCCAGTTTACCGAAAACCATTCGTTAAGTGTCTCGAAACTTTTCTCTAGAAAAATACGAACTCAGAGAAAGACGCAGTATCCCATCCTTCGAGACGATCTCGGAAATCCTAT